TCCAGTTACCTGTTACTTTTTAGAATAAGCTTTACATTGCAAAAAATACTGACTGTTGCTAGATGGGAAGCCATGTTTTACATGTCTAAGTTATAAGCTGTTCAATGAATTAGTAATTTGAATTTTAGGGCAGCAAAACGTCCCAAAAGATTTGGGACAGAGGCAACAAAAGGCTGAAAAGGTAAGTGGTCCTAAAAAGAAGCAGCTTGAGGAACATTTTACAGCTAACTAGGTTAACTGTAACAGGTCAGTAAGATGCCTGGGTATAAAAAAGAGCCTCTTTGAGAGGCAGAGCTTTCCAGAAGTAAAGACAAGAAGAGTTCCACTAAACTGCAAAAAACTGTCTACAAATTGTGGAATAATTTCACAATTTAATGTTTCTCTACTTAAAATTTCAATATCTCATTATCTACGGTACATAATGTCATTTTAAAAAATCCTAAGAATTCAAAGAACTTACTGTGTGTGAACCTCAAGGCTGAAGATCTCTATTCAATGGCAGTTTTGCACAGGTTAAAGAAGACTTCTAGAAAACACTGTTTGTGAACATATTTCACCATACCGTAGACAAATACAGGTTAAAGCTCTATCATGCAAAAAAGAAGCCATATGTGAACATGATCCAGAAATGCTGGCATCTCCTTTGGACAGAAGCTCATTGATTGGGGAAAAGCAGAAAACTGTTCTGTGTTCAGATGAATTTTGAAATTCTTTTTGGAAAACGTGTAAGATGATCCAGCCTAAAGAGCACAGAGACCACTGTGTTTGTGATCAGCAGTGAGTTTAAAAACCTGCAATTCTGACAGTTGGACTGGTCTTGAAGGTATATAGAGGTCTAAGAGAAACATATCCTCCAATCCAGATGACCTCTTCTAGCAAGTTCTTTTATATTTCAACAAGACTATACTAAACTGCACACTGCATTTAGATGTGTTGTTACCATAAAATTCAAAATGACCTTATGTTTTCCTTAAAATTACACATTTTTCTCAGGTCAAACTGTTGATATGTTTTCTATGTTTTATTGTAAATAAATTGAGCAACAGTTGTCCAGGCTTTCTGAAGGTCTTTTGGGAGGTGTTCTGGGGATTTGGTTTGGACATTAGCTGCTATTTCCCTCATTTTCAGTCCAGTATTTATACATGCTTTCAGAGGAATGTTTTGGTTTGTTTGTTTGTTAAGCCACTTAACTGTGACATATGAATCATTCAAAAATTAATAAAAAGTCAACAAAAGCAATGGATGAACCGGTATTGTGTCTGCACTTAACAGACTAGCAGCCTGTCAAGAAAGGTTATCTTTTCTTGACAGGCATAAAAAAAAACTTTTACATTTCCCAATGGACTGTTAGCTAAAACTTTCTATATCTCTTAATGTACACTCTGTACTAAAAAATAAATAAATAAATCAGGAAACTGGACAAGCAGAGGATAAAAGCAGAAGTGGCAGGCCTATAAAAAAACCAACTGTCTTTCACAGATGAACAGTATCTGAAAATGGTTTCCTTAAAAAAGAAGGGACAATCCAGCAAAGACCTGGCACAGGACCAAAGACATCTGGACCTTGACTTGATCCATCTACTGTTCACTGAAGCTTCAGTAGGTGCATGGTGACTTACCATGCATGCAGCAATATCTGGAAACTGCCTCATTGGCAACAGCTTCATTTGTCAATATCACAATGCCAGTGCATTAAAACAGGGATAAAAACACACACACAATGGAACACTATCAGTCATGGATTTACATCCTCTAGATTACTGAAGCAGTGTGGGATCATATTGAGAGAGAACCGAACAAAATGAAGCCAACATCCAAAGAAGAGCTTTGAATGTCCTTCAACGAGCCTGGGAACTATTCCTGAAGGCTGCTTAAAGAAATAGCAAGAAAACTGCACAAGAGAGTTCAGGCTGTGTTGAAGAATAAAGGTAGTTTTACCAATTAATGACTTTAGAGCTCATTAGAACTGTACAAACTCTGTTTTTGTTTTTGCTTTGTTTTGTGTTTTTGCTTTATTTGCAGTACAGTATGATCATTCAAGAAATAACTGAACCCTTTTCCCTTTTTCCTAGCAAAGTATACATAAATGAGAGGTGATTACACATTATGTGCTCTATGTATTTTGCACACAGATCACTGTACTTTGCACAAAGGTGTATGTCCTGTGCCAACTGTGCAAAAGTTCATACAGTACAGTTATCACAGTATATTATCATGTATTGTGATAGCAGTTTTAAAAAAAAAAAAAAAAAAATCAGCGTTACACACATCCTGTACAGTTTTTAAATTTTAACTCTCCAAGATCAATAGAAATCAAATAATATTAATGACAGTAATACAGTAGTCCATTTTGACCAAGTAAGATGTAAATGCAATACAATATTTTTTTAAGAAAAAAAAAATGGATCGATGGATTTCAAAAGACCACTTCCGCTTGATTGACCGGGGGTCATCAACACTTCCTCAAAAAGCTTTGACGCAACTTCTGAGGAGTGCGAGGTGTTGCAAGACATAACCGTCTTTGAGTTGGCGGCTTCAGGCCTTTGCAAACCAAACAGAGTGACGTCACACTGGGTGTACAGCGCGATCCTGAATCAGTGCGTGGCAGACTGGGTCGGGCTGGGCCAGCAGCGAAGGAAGGTGGGAAAAGAAGAAAAACTTCTGGGTCGAATAGGAATGATGTGGGATTCCGCGGAGCTTCTGCGCTCCCTTTCATTGCGCTGCGCTTCCACTTCAGAGAGAAATAACTGAGCTGCTCGAGTTTCCACGGAGTGGGTTTTCGTTTGGAGAGCGTGGTGCCAAAGTTGTCGCCCAGCAAGCTTGAATGTCAACACTATGGATCAGTCCGTCGCAATTCAAGAAACTTTAGAAAGGGAAGAAAACTGCATCATGGTATCCTTCCCGACTCACACGCATTGGTTCGTGGTTGACCAGCGAATCAAACTATAGATTACATGCTTCCAAAAAACCACGTTTGACTGGCGCGACAGCTTTTCTGTCTACTGAGCTCGAAATGGGGCCTGTTGCGTTGTGCCACTTGGCTGTCATCTTTCTGACTAAAGAGTAGCTTTACTTAGGCTTCTATCCAGGCATTGCAGTTGAGTGCACATGGGGTTTATTGGTGCTTTTGTTTTTAGATTAAAAACTAGTCTAGTCAGCAGTTCCTTAAAATAGGTAACATGTACTCAATACTGTAGTGAGACACGTTGTCCACAAGGTGGCAGCTGTGTGCTTTGTCTTTGTTGTCAGTGCTGGTGATCCTATAATTTCACTGTCATTGTCTTAA